GGAAATAGCCTCCTGAACAATGATTCTTCATCAGCTTCTGTTGCTCCCGTTGCACCCGTAATCTCATAGAATTTTGTAAGATTTGTAAACGGATCCTCATGATCTAATCCCGTGAAAAGATTTTGATAAATGAGTGCAAGGATTCCTGTTTTCATCTCGGCTTGTCTTCCATTTTGGGGATTACGTGCGAACTGAGGGGTGTGTCTTGGACTGTTCGTACATGGAACGGAAACTGGAGGTGGAGGTGGTGGTGGTGCTGCCATAATTGGTGAATTAGGTGGAATGGATGAAGAAGATTCTCCACGCTCTTGTCTTTCAATAGCTTGTTGCCGTCTTTGCCTTATGCGACTATTGGTATGCTGAGCGGTTCTCTCAATCTCTGGATCGAAAAGAAGGTTCTATGGCTGAACCTATCCTCGCATAAACGAATTCTGCAATGAACTAAACAGATTAAAAAGCACAAAGAATTACAAAGATAAGAGATTCACAATACAAAAATCTTAAAATCACTAAACTATTGCAATGCTTGCAATATTCTACTAACAACCCCCGGCAACGGCGCCAATTTGTTAGAAAGTATTTTGTGGTAGTGTTTTATCATATCCACAGGGATTGATGAGAATATAGATGCTTTCCGTTCAACAGTTTAATGATTTAGGAAAGGGGGTTTTTAAGATGGTTTTTATTTTCATAAAAAAAGTTTGCAAGAAATAAAGCAGAATAAAATTTGGTCTAAGTTTGATAAAAGCATGTCAAGATTAAGGTTCACTAGTCCGTCCTAAACATATCCAACCTATCAAATATGTGAACGAAGTTTGAACCAACATAACCGCGTATCCTCGAAAAAACGTCCATTCCTAAAGCGATTTCGGGAATGTTATTGTTTCGACCGTTAAATGATCTCTCTAAATAACACTCGAAACAATAATCATTAAGATCGATACAATGCAGATATCAACTTTCAAACCTATGTCTAGAATTTGTATAGTTGATAGATGAAGAAATTAGGTCAAGACTTGGAAAGTTCATGTCTAAAGCAATCCAAACCATAAATGTACAAAAAGTAGCAAATAAATTCATCTACATTGATCGCGTTCACATACAAAAGATTAAGAAGAATACATAAAATCTGAACTAACTACTCCAAATCTTGACAAGAGAGAGATTTAGCCACTCATTTCCATGATAGCTTGAGCAACAAGTTTCGAAAGAAGGTTGATCAACATCCGAGTCGAATAATCGAGATTGGATGGGAATCCACCTTTTGGTGAAATATTGCTAAGAGATTATGAGAAATGAAGAAATGAGTTTTTTAGGTTAGAAAAATCCTCTCAAATGCAAGTACAAGAAATTAGATATTTTCTCAAAAAGTAGCTCACACTACTTATAGAAGGGGCTGCTGAGTTGTCACGTTCACAATGCGAACACCCAAAAATGGCACCCGAAGTGCCTATGTCCTGTGAACTATCCCCAGACAAGTTTCCAAATGTTCGTTGTGCGAACAATCCTTCGCAGTGCGAAGCCTTCGCTGCAAACTTCACACTGCGAGTTCTTGTCCAAATACTTACTGCCTCAAGTCTGGGAGTGTTCGCTGGCTCTTCTCTACCACTTCGCCTAGCAAGTTTAAGGCCCTTTTCTTTCTGTGTGAACAATGCATGGGATTTCCTGGTCTTCGCTACAGAGTTCGCCTAACGAACTTTGTGATGTTTTGGTGGCAGCTTCACTGGCAAGTTCGCCTAGCGAACTTGCTGTTGTTTGCATGCTGTCTTGATTTCTTTGTCATCTTTCTTGTGTCTTAATTTTCACTTTTTCATGCCTAATTCCTGCACAATAACACACAAATCAAAGGTACCAAGGTATTTTCACATAATGCTGCAAACCAACCAAAGCAAGAGTGATTTTTAACACTTTCTTGACAAAAAAGAGTGAAAGATGCCCACATTTGATAGATCAAATAAGAAAAGTTGGGCATCTAAAAGTAAGTAGCTTTGATCTCTTTTTGGGTTTGGATGTAATCTTTTGATACTTTATGTATTTCATCTAATCTTGGTTTTGTGAACTAGCTTTTATTCAATATTGATGGTCTCTTTGATTTTATGTTTGTGGGTTTGAGTGGGTAATGAGAAATCTCTTTCAAATCCAAGATCTAAGATATTCATCTATTAATGAGCAAACTCTAGACATAGATTTGTGGTTTGATATTCACTAGTATCAAGATTTTATATTATTGTGTTGATTGTTAGCATGAGACATCATCTAGTGATTAATACGGTAAAACCCATGATAACGCTTTAGACATAAACGGTATTGTGAGAATGCGTGATAATAGAGATTAGGAACTATGTTCACATACTTAAATTAGTTGAATACATGTAAAAAGGGTTAAGCGTATGTACGTATTCTAATAATGGCCTTTAATATGAAGTAATCATTTATCTGATATGGGTGTCATCTTTGTTTACCTGCTTATTGTTGATTTGAACCGCTATAGACATATACTCTTCAGATCTAAATATAGGTTGATTACCTATTAGGTTCTAAACTCTAGACATAGATTTAGGCTTAGCATTTGCGTTAGTATCAATTCTTAATGCTCTATGTGTTGAGTTGCGTGAGACATCACCTATGAGACAATACAATTGTTCTCTCGACGTTGCGTTAGACATAACCTCTGTTGTGGGTGATACGTGAGGATATTAGAAGAATGATTGATTTGTGTTTAACTGGTCAGAAGAATGCATGTGTTATCAATTGATGAAGAGAGGTGACGGAAGAAAGGAGATAGAAGAGGAAAAAGGAGTTCGTGACCGAGAATAGGAAGAAGAAGAAGAGTTTCCTGAAGATTGAGAGAGAGGAGAAAGATGAGGAGACGCGTGAAGGCGAAGGAGAAGAAGAGAGAAGAGAAATTGAAGGGGGAAGGTGCCGCTGTTTTGGGAATTTAGGGTTTCAATTGAAACCCTTCCCCCCTTTCTGTTGTTATTCCGGGTCCAGTGGGTCTGGTGGGTTCACCACCAAAGGCCCAACCCACTTTTTTAGTTTGTGTTTTACTGTTTTTTAAAAGTTTTTTTGTGTTATGGGCCTGGCCCAACGAATTATGGGAAAATAATTATAACTCAAAAAACAAGAATATAAAAATAATAAAATAAAATATAAAAATAAAACAAAATAAATAAATATTAATAAAAAATAATAACAAAAGATAATAAAAAGAAATAATAAATTAGAATTTAGGTTAATTTAACTTTTAATTTATAATACTTCTTGCTAAAATATAACTATTAAACCTACACAACAATATCTTATAGTTTTAAAATGTTCCTGCGGTGCACTTGTATAATAATTTTAAAACAAAAATAAATATTAAATATTAATAAAATAAAAATGTAATTCTTTTTTTATTTCTTATATGTATTCTTTTGTATATTTTTAATGATTATCTATGACCATTTATATTTAAAATATAAGTTTTTTGGATGTCTTAATAATTTTTCTTGGGTATATTTAATGATTATAAGTTTTAGAAAAATTATGATTTTTCTTGCTAAAGCATAACTATTAAACATACACAACAATATATTATGGTTATAATGTGGCATGCGTTGCACTTGTATAAAGTTTTTAAAATAATAATAAATATTAAATATTATTAAAATATAAATATAAATTTTTTTATGTCTTATAATTATCCTTTTTTGTGTTTTTACCTATTTATGACCATTTATATTTAAAACATAAAAAATTGCTAAATTTAACCAAGAAGATATTATAATTTTTAGAAAAATCTGCTAAAGTATAACTATTAAACATACACAACAATATATAAAGTTTTATAATGTGGCATGTGGTGCACATGTATTAAAACAATAAAAAATATTAAATATTATTGAAATAAAAATGTAAAATTGTTTGATTTCTTATCATTATCCTTTTGTGTATTTTTAATGATTATCTATGACCATTTATGCTTAAAACATAAACTTTTGCTAAATTTAAACATAAAAATATTATATTGTTTAGAAAAATTTGCTAAAGTATAACTATTAAACATACACAAAAATATATTATAGTTTTATAATCTGACATGTGGTGCACTTGTATAATAATTTTAAAACAATAATAAATATTAAATATTATTAAAATAAAAATGTAAAATCTTTTGATTTCTTATTCTTATCTTTTTGTGTACTTTTAATAATTATCTATGACCTTTATATTTAAAATATAAATTTTTTTGATGTCTTGATAATTTGTCTTGTGTATATTTAATGATTATCTATAACCATTTATATATATATATATATATATATATATATATATATATATATATATATATATATATATATATATATATATATATATATATATATATATATATATATATATATATATATATATATATATATATATATATATATATATATATATATATATATATATATATATATATATATATGTGATTATTATATGAATAAATTTTTCCTTGTCCAAGTTTGAAAACAACGGGAAAAAAAATAGTATAATTAGTAATACCAACTGTTCCTATTTATAATGCAAACTGTTTCAAGTATATACAAATATTACTTTTGGAAAAACATTGATCGCTACATTGTTAGAAAATTTAACAGTTTGAATACATTGTCTTTATAATAAGCTTTTTTGTGTACTCTTAATTAATATATTAATTCATGAATATTTAAGATTAAAACTACTCCATTTATAATTAATTCATGAATATTTAAGATTAAAACTATTCCATTTATAATTAATTCATGAATATTTAAGATTAAAACTATTCTATTTATAAACAAAAATATTTTAAATGAGTTAATAAATTTTATAAAAGGTTATAATATAAACAAATATTAAAAACAATCAAGACACTAAAATGATTTATATAATTAATGGTTAACAAATATTGTCTATAAATTAAAGCATACTTGTTGAGACAAATCATTCTAATATTTCACAATTATCATACATACACACATATTAAAATTAACATGACAGGGAAGAAATCTATTTCTGTTTCAATGTTTTTTATGGTTTTAGGTATGCTAGTAACACCATTGTTTTCACGACAAATTGATGACATAACATGCCCTGAAGCTCTTTTGTCATTGTTGCCATGTCTTCCATTTCTGCAAGGAACTGGTCCTCCTACACCTCCGAGTAACTGTTGTGATGCTTTAGGTAATTTGAATCAAAAGGCCAACACCCCTCAGATTCGAAAAGATGTTTGCAATTGTCTCAAACCTGCTGCGTCAAGATTTAAAGTTAACCCAGATAGATCAAAACAACTGCCACCACTTTGTAACATTAAACTTTCAGTTCCTTTTGACCCTAGTGTCGATTGTAACACGTAAGTTATATGTCTTCTCGTTTTAGTGTCAACTAATACCATGCATATAACAAATGTAAATAACTATTTCTTTATCTTCTTGACAACCACAAAGACAGATGTATGTTCAATTTCTATCATGTTTATATGTTGTTCTAATATTTTTTTTCCGTTTTTTCCAGGGTCCAATGATGCTATAATATGGGGAATGCCGATTCTAAAGAAATCTTCAAGAATAATTTAATATCTTCTTATCAAGTCATATGAAAAGATAAAAGTTGTAATAACTCTGCCATGTTGAATGTGTTTTTAGAAATTAGAATGAATAAACTTTTTATGATTTATGTGTATAATTTGTTCTGATTGGTTGGAAATGGTTAAACTTTTTATACAGACAATATTTCAAATCTAAGATCAAAATTATGGTTAAATTGAAGTAAAAACATTTGATAATTATAAGAAACAAGAACAATTAATTATAGCTCTTAAGATTAAGTTATAAAATACAAATATTTTATCTTATTAAAATAAAAACGACTAATATTTTTCCACAAACATAAACCACAAGATGTCCCCAATGACAACAAGAACAATTAATTATAGCTCTTAAGATTAAGTTGAATAAAATACAAATATTTTATCTTACTAAAATACAAATGACTAATATTTTTCCACAAACATAAACCAGAAGATGTCCCCAACGACAAAACTCTCATCCCTAGTTCCAACACATAGACTAATGGTTAGTATTCCCTATTTCCACACATAGACTAATGGTCAGTATTCCCCATGCATCTATAATCAGATTAAAAGAGTTTCTCACTTTAATTATTCATGCACCGACAAATTAAACATATGTCTTAACATGTTTAAAATAAGTTCATCATACAAAACATAAGATAGAGAAGTTTAGGTACTTATAATGAAACAATTAAATACTAAGAAATAAGATGAAGATTGCATATGAAAATCCTGGAAGAAATGGCTACCAGCGGCTTCCAATGATGTCACAATTTCCCTCCTGATGCTCTTTCTCGTCACTTAGAGTCAAAATTGAAGAATCCTCGAAAAGATGTCGAAAAACCTTTTTAAACTAGTCATAATAGGTAAGAAGCACGTTAGAAAAGGCCCAAAATGGTACCATCTTGTGTGTTATAAGATGCATCATGCTTGCAATGCAATTGTTACAATCCTATCACTCATGCGGTGGCGTGCGATGTTGCGCGTGATTATTCCGGTAGCTATATCATTTTTGCTTCTTTTTCCGTCAAATTTTCACTAAGTTTTTATTTCTTCATACTCATTGATTCTTATATATTTCTTTGGTATTTATTCTTCTTTTTTTTTTCTCATCTTTGACGTATTTTACTCTTTTCTTCAATAGAAAACATGCAATGGCAGAGTGTCATCACAACCCCAAACTTGAATTGTTGCTTGTTCTCAAGTAACTTGCCTGCATTGCAAATCTCAAACAGAAAAACAAGTTGCAACAATAATAAAGTGAACTCACCATATGAAATTGGTTTTACCTGACCACCATATTCTAGATTCCAACTACAATCCGACAAATTCCGAAAACTTCCTCAATCTTTGACAATTACTCAACTTATCTCTCATCTCACCATGACTCAATCAATTGATAGAGTGGTCTCTCAATCATCATGCAAAATAGTCTATATTAGGTTTGATTATGTTCTAATAAAATTTGTCAAAAAAATCAAAACACACACACTTGAAGGGTTTTTTCGATTGTAACGAGGCTTATGTCCGGGTAGAACATTTTGTTGGGAAAGTTGGTTTAAATCTTTGGAGGTAGGTACCTAGTTCTCCTATTGTTATCATACCATCTCTTTTCTGATTAACGGTACTAGAGATATCACTATTGTAGTCCTCAATATTCATTTTACATTCTTTTTCTCTTTTTACAAAGAAGTTATTTTAACTTCTTATTTTCTCAAAAACAGATTATAATTTTTGACCGTTTTTTCTCTAGTACCCACACCCTTAACTTAAACGTTGCTCACTTCCAAGAGCAGCCCAAAACTTATTCTTTTCATACAGCTTTAAAACTAAACATTTCCACCTAACGCAAAAGAAAGGGTGGAAATATGTAATTTTCCAAGTCATATGACTAATAAATAAGGCTAAGTCAAAGAAAGAAAAAATAAGCTCAAAGTGGTTAGCAAAGGACTTTATCTATTACTACAGGGTGGTTTTAGAAAGGCTCAGAGTTTATAGAAAACAACTTCCTCGATGTATGTAAATTAAACCAGACAAATTAAATCGGAAATAGTTCAAACCTGATAAAACAATAATGCATTGATACACTCAATGAAAGGAATATTGAACAGCGGAAATAATTTTCCTCAAACCTTACTAGTTGAGGTATCTAAAGGTTGAGTACAAGTCTATCAATTTCTTTTTCATTCTTTGCTTTCAAATTGTAAGTCACTTTCCTGACAATCAAATTTGATTTGATGGTGCTTTTGGTTCATTTGTTCAATGCTAAACTTGTAATTATTCTAATTCTAAAAGAAACAACAGTTGAAGGTGACAAGAAACATAAGAAAGGGGGCCTGAATTAAGTTTCCAAGATCAAAACTTTTTGAACCCAAATTACTCAAAGATGAAACAAGAATAAAAATAAATGAGCGCAATTTTTTTTTATCCTGGTTCACTTTAAACAAAGTTATTCTAGTCATCATGTAATACCTCACTCTACCTCGTACGCGTATTATAAAACATAGATGGAAATATTACATAAAAGTACATCAGAGTTCTCAAAACAAGTAGGATGCCAGATAGAAATTTATCTCATTCAATGAAGTATCAAGTCACTTCATTCTTCATAAATAAACCAATGTTATCTAGCTTTCAATTAAACAGCAGAATAAAATCAACGTTTAAACATAATCTCCACAACCGGTGGTTATACATCATTAATCCAACAAATAAAAGATACATAACAATTAATCAAGAAAATAAGAAAAACATAACGTAATCCTGTCATCCCATGTTACGTATCAGAGCGACTCCTAGGACTCGATCAAATAGCAACATACTCCAAGCACTATTAAGGTACCCGGTCATCTGCATTCCCCAAGGAGCACAGACGCAACAAACAAAAAAGGGGTGAGAACTACATTCAATAAATAAGCGGTGAAATACACATGCTAAAGAGTAGTTACACACCACACATACAATCATACATATGCAACGCACATACATGTGCCACCTCAATCACTCGGCATTAATAGCCTATAATCAAATACAGATATGTAATGTAACTCACTGACTCGACACAATGCATGTGGTACCAACACAAATACATACGGTTCACACTAGAACCTGATTCCCATCGGAATCTAGATAAGTCATATACGTTCCTCTAAACTATAACTTATCTCCACAACGACTTCCACACGAAGTCCGGATGAACTAGGCACCCATCATGGATTCCCACCTACTCATCTCCACAAGACACATGGCATGAAATGCATGACAACTCCATTATAAAAATTTAATAATAATTTCAAGCATAATTCACGATCATCAATGATCCACATGAGCCATCCACTCATTGTAATCCTCTTGGGAATTACCATCATCACACCAGATCGTCTACACTGGACGGTCCTGGCTCACACATATCAATCACACCCCTAAGGGCAAATACGTAAATTTCCATATTCTTCTCTAACTAAATTCATTACTAATCTTCCTTAGGTTCATTTTAGTCATATTAGTTCTATCGATTAAACATAATTGCGTTCCAAGCGAAATCTGGGCAGAAATCGCGAAAATGGGAAAAAGTCATCACAGGCCTACCCATACGCGTATTGTCGTGCCTGTTACATATATTGCCTTGCTGTCAAGCCCACCATACGTGTATTTCCCTACCTTTTATGTGTATTGCCTTGCTGTCAGGCCCAGCATACGCATATTGCTCTACCTATTACGTGTATTGCCCTGCCCCATACGCGTACCATACTTGTATGACCAAAACTGCTGTCAAAACTCAGATTTCCTCCCTTTTTCCACGAATTTTCACTCAAGGCTTCTCATAATATCATCTAATTCATCCTAGAACTCATTTTTATGTCATTTAACTCTTTCCATCTTCACCCTACTCCATCTACCTCTCATCTTTCTATGATTTCTACTAATTAGGTTTGATTTTGTTAACCCTTAAGCCCTTATTCTCCAGATCTGTTATTCATCAGAATTCTATTACAGCATCAAGAAATTTTCACACGAATTGCATATCAGTTCCAGAATCATACACAAAAACATCATACAATGATCATTCAACAATAACAGCAATTACAGGGAATCCACCATGCTAAGAAAATCAGATAAAAGAAGAGGAAAATTCATGAATCCTATGATAGAAAGGACCTCTCACTATCCTCTCATGTTAATTCACCCCTATTGAAATCCATTCTCCCCCTTACCTTGGATTTGAGCTCTTTCTTGATAACAATGAAGGAATCTTGGTTCTTCTGCCCTAGCTCTCCTTTCTCTGTCTTTTTCCTCTTTTATGTGTTAACTGTCTAACTCTTCCACTAACCCTCTCTTAACGCCTTAATCAGCTTTTAATTCCATTAATCCAATTAATAATAATAATAATAATAATAATAACTACCATTATATTAATATTATTATCAATAAATAATAATATCAACAATCATAGCATTCTTATTATTGTTATTAAATGGTTAATATTATTATTATAGGTCTACGTTACCCCAACTAATGTCACCTCCCACTCTTGCCCCTAACTTTATACCCCTAATTAAAGACATTGCAACAAATACACGCACAATAAAGTATAAAATGAATAAATAACTTAAATGGGGTATTACACATCTCCCCAAGGTGATTCCGCCTAATCAACAAAGACTTAATCCACTATAGTCAATTAATTACAGACACATGAAGACAACACGTCAATGCCTTCTTGAGAATCCTGACTAAACCTTAGTCTATCAAGGAATACAAACTCAATCAATGAGATACAAGAAA